TGGCTGTCGGCGGGGAGAGGGACGGGGCCCGGCGGGATGCTCGCAGGCTGGGCCGGAGGAGGGGCGGAGGGCGCGGGGAGTGAATAGCTGAGCCCCGGCACCTTGCAGCGGGGTGCCGGGACCTCCGACCACCGCAGCCCGCTCGTCCCCGGAGCCAAGAGAAGCAGCCGGGGCCGCAGGGCAGCTCCGAGCACAACAAAGAGAGCAGCCGAGGCGAGCCATCCTCCCTTCGCCCTTCTCCCCTCCGGGCTGCAGCGAGCAGGGAGCGTTGGGGAGGACATTCAGAAATGATTCTTTGCCCGAAGAAAGGGGAGGAAAGGAAATGAAGGCGCAAGTGCAAAACGCCGGGCGCACGGTGGCCCTGGGAATCGGCAGCACAACACCCTCGGCCGGGCCGGCCGGGAGCGAGGCCGGTAGTGCCGTCTGACAGCTCTATCACCCCATCAATCACCCCAGTCAATCAAAGCGGCTTTTCTGAGTTTCAAGTCGCTGGACGTGTCAATAACGGGGGATGGAGACGGCTCGGCCGCAGTGACGGCCGGCGGGGAGCACTAGGCCGGGCAGCGCGGAGCGGGGCCGGGGCAGGGCAGCACCGCCTTCCCCGCGCATCGGAGCGGACCCCGGGTAGGCACAGGGCAGCCCATCCCGGCCCCGCGCCGAGCTGCCGGAGCCCTGGCTGCTGGCTGGGGGTGTCATGGGGGAACCCACTCTCCTCACCTTCTGCTTCTCGCAAACAAATGGCATTTAAAGCCAGAACGTAACGGTGATAAATAAGGGGCTGCCTGGGGCACCTGGGGAGTGTGAAGAGGTAGAAAGAGCGGCAGAACGGGGCCGGGAGGGCCGAGCCGGCAGCTCCCACCGGGACGGCCCCGGGCAGAGGCACATCCTCTCCCCGGAGCTGGGCCCCAAACAGCAGCAGGGAACACCGGCTCCGGAGGCAATGCGCGGCCTAAGGGCCTGCCTGGCTTGCTGCAGAGGCCCCGGTAAAACAGCCTCTCCGCCACCTTCCTAAAAAGCCCTTTCCCTTCGCCTGCCAAGAAAACAGTACCTCCCCCATCCTCCCCACCCCGCCAGCAGCCGCTCAACATGTGGCTCGGGTCTTCCCCCCCCCGCCACCAGCACCCAGGAAAAAATAAAATAAGGGGAGAGAAAGCTTCAGAGCAAGGAAGCGGCCGAACCCGCTACTTTTTTCTCTCTCGGCTCTCACCCCGTGCCGCCGCGCTGCGGAACACCCGGAGCTGCGGCAGGCGGGGCGGGCCAGGGGCGCGGGAAGGGGGTCGCTCTCGCCGGCTCCGCATCGAACCGCTGCCGAATCGGGGCCAGGCGTCACATTCAAATTTGGGAGACTCGGAGGAGGAAGGAGGGGTGGGGTGGGGGGGACGCGTTTCCTCTCGCCCCGGGTGACCCAGGCCACCCTCCCCCCGCGCCTCCCCACGCGAGGTCCTGAACAGGCCGGGAGCCAAAGCCAAGGGGGAAGAGGGGAAGGGGAGGGGGGGGCGACCTTGTCACGATTTAACAGCTCCCAGATGCGCCGCGGTTCCTTACCCGAGGACGGTCTGTCTGAATACCTAGTGCAGTAGACCCAGGCAGGCCACACCAGCGGCTGTTGCGAGTCGGGCTTTATAACAGGTCCTCCATTATTAGAGCCCATGAGGAGGATGGCGGGGCTGCCGTGCTCCCCGTACTTCGCCGGGTGAGTCTCAGCCCCGTCGGCGGGGGGCTTGGCCGCCCCCGACGCCGCCGCCGCCGCTGCCGCCGCGGCGGGACTGGCTTTGGCGGCGGCGGCGGGCGGTGGCGGCGGCGCGGAGCCGTCGGGACGGCAGTTCGAGTCCGGGCAGAGGAGGGCGGGCGGGTTGGGCGGCCGGGCCAGCAGCGGGTTGACGTTTTCTCTACCTGAGCTCTGCCCCCGGTCTCCGTCCCGCTCCCGGCTGCCTCCTCCTCCGCCGCCGACCGGCGCGGGTGGCTCCTTCTTGCAGCCGAAGTCCGGCCTCAGGATGTTGTCGATGAAAAAGTTGGTGGTGCGGTGGGGCGGCGGCGGTGGCGGGGGCGGTGGCGGGGGCGGCGGGTGGCGGCGGCGGGGCAGAGGCAGGGGCAGGGCGCGGCGGGGGAGGCGGGCGCGGGGCTGGGGACACGGGCACGCTCTCGCCATCGCTGCCGCTGCCGCTGATCGCCGGGCCGGGCGCCGCGTCTCGGTGGCCGTGCCCCTCCGGCGGCTCTTCCATGCTCAGCCGCCGCCACGGAGATCGCTGCCTCTTTTCCCCCCACCCACCCACTTTACGCCCACCCCACTTTGACGGTGGGTGGCGGGGTGGAAAAGGGGGAGGAAAAAATTTAAAAAGAAAAAAAAAAAAGAAGAAAAAAAAAGAAGAAGAAAAAAAGATATTAAAATCCACTTGTTGGGCTGGAGCTGAGATTTTTTTCTCTCTCTCTCTCACGGATGGATCCAAAATCGGGGAGACACTCGAGGGCTTCTCTCCCAATTCTCCCGATCAGCTTATATTTCCACCACCAAAAAAAAAAAAAAAAAAAAAAAAAAACACCAAAAAAAAAAAACAAACCCAAAAAGGTGTGTGCGGCGGCACCACGGCCCCCCCAAAAAACCCGCCCCCCGAAAACCCGTCACGATCTGCCCATCTCCCCGTCGCCGCCGCCGCGGCGGCTCTGCGCTGCCCCGCTGTCACGCTCTGCTCTGCCCACGCCGCGGGCTGCCGGAGCCCGTCCCCGCCAGCCCGGTGCTGCGCCGCCCGCGCCCGCTTAGGGTTCTTTTTTTAATTCTTTTTTTTTTTTTTTTCCCTCTTCCCTTTTTTCCCTTTTTTTTTCGTTTTTTTTTTTTTCCTTAAAAAAAAAAAAAAAAAAAAGGCCAAATCTCTGACAGCGCCGATCCGTGCACCAAACTCTCCCTAAAAAATCCCTCAGCCACACTTTTTTCACTCGCACCGGAAGCACGTGAGGTGGCCCCGCACGTGGGGGCGGCCAATGGCGCGGCGCGGCCGCCGCTGACACCCCGCACCGCGCCCAATGGGGCCGCCGCCATAAATACCGCGTGGGGACCGGACGGGGCGGACGGCGCCGGGCGGGACGGGGCGGGCGGGACGGCGGCGGCGGCGGCAGCAGCAGCAGCAGCAACAGCAGAGCCCCGACGGGGCGGGGGCACCGCGCCGCGCCCACGCGCGTGGACCCACTCCCCCCCTCACCACCACCCCGACCCCCTACCAGCCCCGTAAACAAATTCCAGTGGCGCCGTACCCCTCCCCTCCCCCACGCGTGGTGTGTGGATTTTTGGTCATCATCGGCCGCTTTCCTGTAGCCCCAGCGATAATAAGCACACACACCCCCCCAATATGTGAGCTTTTTCCCCCTCTTTTTGTTTTCTGTTCTCCCGCAGCGTAGGGAGACGGCAAGCCGGGCGGAGGCTCGCCGAGAATCCAAAATTTTTGTTTTTGAGGAGTAAAAAATGACAATGACAATAAATAGCAATAAAAGCGAGAGGCACTGCCGGGGCGAGCTGGGCTTACTGCTGCTGCGTCTCACTAGTTTCTCTCTCATTCAGTAAACCCCTCTTCACTGGGTTTGGGATGTTGCGGGTTTTTTCGGAATATGAAGCAGATCAGGGCCAGCTCACAGCTGAACTCGTATCATGTTTCCTGGTCTCTTTTTTGATGTTTGTTTGTTTGGACTCGGTTTGTTGGCTTTTTTTTTTTTTTTTCTCCTTAGTATTCTTCTTTGGTTTTATTTTAGTTTTTTCTGCCCGGCAAGGAGCAACCACCTCAGGATGTGTGTTGAGGCAGAAGGGAAATGTAAATATTTTAAAGGCTGTGAAGAAAAAGGCTTTTTTTTTCAGGATCGATGCTGCTATCTAAAAATTAATTTAGAGGAAAAAAAAAAAAAAAAACTAAAAAATACCCTGGTCCCGGTTTTGGTTTTGTTGGGCTGCTGGGGCCGCAGAACAAGCTCCGCAGGGAGGGCGGCTCTGCCGCAGCTGGTCCCCTCGGCCCCGGGCGCTCCCGGCCGCCAAGGACCGAGTCGCTGCGGGGAAGGGCAATGTTGGTGCTCACACGAAGCGGCACTAGGGATGGGGGTCCCCCCGATACCTCCCAGTTTACACACCGGAGAAGGTCCGGGCGGGCTGGGTGCCCGGAGCCGCGGCGCTTCCCGGCCGGCCGCAGGCACCTGCTCCGGCTGGAGCCGCGCTCCTGCCCGCGGCTGTTTCCCGGGCATGCGGGAAGGGCAATTCAGGGCGTTTTCCGTTTCTGACGTGACCGAAGCCCCCCATTTTCCCCTCCAAAACGGCGGCAGGGTGGCGGTGGGTCCGGGGAGGCCGAGGGGCCCCGCGCACCTCTCCGCGCCTCTCCGTGGGGCCGGGCCGCGTCACGTGCCGCCGCCTATATATCCTATATGTGCACGGGTGGGGGCTCAAAATACACCTATAGCTCTGTCTGTGTGTGTCTATATGACGGCGGTGCCTTGCGAGCTGAGCTGCGGTGACGGCAGCAGCGAGGCTCCCCCATCTCGCCCTGCCGCACCGCCCCGGCTGGATGGGCTTCCCAACCCGGGAGGAGCGCCGGGGAAGCGGCCCGGCCCGTGGCTACGCTTCCAGAAGGCGACCGGCACCGGGAATCGAAGGAGACACCTCTGGGTGTCCGTCAGCTGCTCCCCGGGTGCCCGGGAGGCGTGCGTGTGCCCGCACCTCCGAAGCACGTTCGGTAATTTTCTGTACCGGGGAAACATTACCGAATTGTTACCTCCAGCCACACAATAATCCCCTAAAATAATAGCTGGCAGAACAAAATCAGCCCTGGAATCAAGAGCTTCATCCGCAATTAAATGAATGTTAAATCCACCCCCCCCCAACCCCCCCCCCCGCATTCACAATATCATATCATTTACTCGCACCGAAATTGGGTTTATTTATATTTAAGTTAGCAAAATTGAAATCTTTATCCCAAAAGCGAGCGTGGGTACTTAATTAAATTCTAATTAGGACACTATCAATATCCCATTTAGCCACGTAGCCTTTGTGAGCCGCGGTCCCTTTCAGAGCTGTAAATGGGGGCTCGCTGCCTTATCTCTCCTGCAAGAGACGCCTTGAGAAGGGCTGCAAAAGATAATTTATAGGTTTTAATTACTCTTCATTCCGCCTGATCAGCTTGGCGTTCATCACAGGACGGCGAATAAAACCTGGTCAAAAGCACTGTCACTATTCCCTGGCAAGACGCTTAATCAAAGTAAGCAGGGCCATATTACACGCTGCGAGCTTCTTCACGTAATTTCCCAGCTGCTGATAAAGCTAGTTGAATAATGCTGCAGTCCTTCGGAGACACCATTTACAGAAATGACTTTATTGACGGCTTAACGTCGGTAATTCATTTTACCTTTCATGTATTGGGAGCCCGGATTTGTTACAGTAATAGGATGATAAATGTCCTGGCGGCCCTATAGCTTTTATTATTGAATACAATACACACACCCATCCTTAAATGTTCCAAAATTGGGTAACAAAAGGGAGAGAGAGAGAAATCGAAGCCTTTAACTATTTAATTTGCCTTCCTGAGCACGCGCGGGGGGAAGTGTGTGTATGTGCGTGTGTGTCTGTGTGTACGTGTGTGTGTAGGGAGGGGGATTATTTCATCTGGAGTCCTCCCTTCTTCCAGAAACTGTTCTGGATTGTAAAGGCTTCTCTATAAATTGAGTAGGTTTGTGTATGGAGGGGGTGGGGGATCGGCTGGATGAATGAGGAGGGGTTAAAGGAAAAGACGATGTATATTTCCAGGCTGGATATTTTTTTCCACCGCGACCCTTCCTATCTAAATAGATAAATATTACTCCCCGGCTCGCAGGTAGTTACAGTAATCGGGGTAATATGTCTGCACACGGACGGCTTATGGACGGAAGCCTTAAAAAAAAACCCGCTTCATAGAAAAAGTTCCCTCTGTAACTTGTGGGTGCCGTTGGGTTTCGGGGTCCCCGTCGGGGGGCCCGGCCTCCCGGCACCCCTTGCCCGCTGCCGTAGCAGGCGGGGCCGGTCCCGAGGAGCCGCCGGCGCGTCCAGCGGGGCCGGGGCACCGGGGGCTCCCCCGAAAGTGCTGCAGGGCCGGGGCCGTGCTGCGCCTCTGCTGCCCCTCGGAAGTGCCGCGGTGCCGTCTGAGTCTCTGGCAGGTTGGTGTCCCCACCGGCTCTCGGCGCTGGAGCTTGGGTCAGCCATCCCGGCATGGGGCGGGAGAAAATCCAGTCCGGGAGGCGGAGAGTGGCCGAGGAGTGGCGGAGCCGGGGAGCCGGACTGGGACCCCCGGTGCCCGCCGTCGGGCTGTGCGGAGGGCGCTCGCATCGCTCCCGCCGCACGACGCCAGCCCGCGGTGCCCGCATCCTCTTTGGAAACTGGGCGAAATAATTTCTCCGATTTCGTTGCATTTACTTTTTTTTTTTTTTCTTCTAATTTTCTTCTTTTTGAGGGAGGCCATCAAAGGAAGGAAGTTTTAAAATTGAAAATAAAAACAAAGTTAAAATTAGATTGAAAAGCCATTATATTTATTTTTTTCTCGGCGCCCTTATAGGAAGGAGGAAGTATAGAAACGTGGTTAATATACGCTGTGGTAATCCTATTTCTAGGTCTAGATCAGATCTCATTGGGGCCTTTGCTGAAGGACATAAATGAGTTGTTCTAATACAATAGATTTCATCCTTCCTACAGGGACTGGCTGACCAGAGGTTTTGTTAAAAGTGAATACGAATAGATTTCTGCTACAAGTGCAGCATTATTATTATGAGCTGTAAGGTCAGACTATACATTCCGGGTCCCCAAAGCCTATAGACCCTGGGAAAGGCGCGGGATATACCACGTCATTGTACCTGACAGTCTCTTCAATAGACTAATTCAATTATCGCTTGGGGATTCAGTCTTCATTGAAAGCAATAATAGCGGTGTAATTCGTTGGTAAATAGGTATTGGAAACAACCCCGCTCGAAACTTTCTTCGGAGCACAGGTTTATATCTCTGGGATGCAAAATCTCTCCTGGTAGCAGCGCGGGGAGCGGGGAGAGAGGAAGGGATGGTTTTTATGGAGAGGAGGGCCGGGCTACGGGGAGACCCCGGCGCCACCGGCCAGAGCGGCAACCCCGCACCCCGCTCGGGCGGGCAGCGCGGACGCCCCGCTCCCCCGAGAAGTTCCCGGGGCGCCAGGGATGTTGTGCCCTGGTGTCCTGGTGCAGAGTTATGAATCAATTACCATCCAGGACCACCCCCACCCCAGCAGTGCAGCCCGGCTATCAAGTCACAGGGAACTATAGGAAAGATTTAATTTTATTTACTTCATTGTCTGTCCCCACTTCCCAAGGGGGATGGAGGCGAAAACACCCCGCAGAAGTTTCTAGGGAGAGGAGACAAAACTGTCTTTCTTAGAGATATTATTAGTTTGTTTCTTTTCCTACAAGAAAAAAAAAATAAAAAGGAAAGAGACGAAAGGAAGGAAGGAAGAATGAAAAAAAAAAAAAAAGAAAAGGGAAAATTAAAGATGAAAAGAAAAATGAAAATAAAACCCAAAACTAAACAAGAAAAGAAAAAAAAACCAAACAAACAATCAAACAAAAAAACTTACCAAAAAAAGGAAAATAAATAAAGAAAAGCAAGAGTAAATAAAAAACAATTTTTTTAAAAAAGGAAAAGAAAGAACCAAGGAGAAAAGAAAAGTGACAAGAACCCAGAAAGATAGGGGGAGGGAAAGAGGATGCATAGAAAACAGGAAAAGAAAAATTAGAAGGAAAGGGAAAAGAAGAAGCGGGAGGAAAAGGGGAAAAAAAAGAAAAGAAAAGAAAAGAAAAGAAAAGAAAAGAAAAGAAAAGAAAAGAAAAGAAAAGAAAAGAAAAAGAAAAAGAAAAAGAAAAAGAAAAAGAAAAAGAAAAAGAAAAAGAAAAAGAAAAAGAAAAAGAAAAAAGAGAAAGAAGAAGCTCTCTCCTTTCCAGTGGCCTGGCTGCAAACCCCTTCTCATCTACTTCCCAAGCCCCCTCCCGCCTCCCACCCACATCTGCAGCCCACCCTACCTCTCTGCGAGCAGCTCAAGTCACCTGGATCGGGTGCCTTAAAAGGTCCCAGCTCCCGGAGATGTTTCTCGCTAGCTGGTCGGGGGAGGAATAGATTCGAGGAGGGCAGCGGCATCCTCTCGCCCGGCGAGCAGCTCCGGCGGCTGCCTCTGGCCGCGGCTGCTCCCTGGCAATCTGGTTTAAGTTACAGTGAAGGTTTTTGAGAACTGTTTTGCCCTATTTCGGGACAGATACTCCTGTCCCCTCGCTAAAAACGTTACCAATAGGGGCTGAAAGTTCCGTGGAAGCTCTGGGGTCTGCAGACGCCTCTGCTCCGCCGGGCCGGTCCCGGTCCCTCCATACGCCTCATCACCCGCACACCGGCTCGGGCTGGCTCCGACCCGCTTACATTTTAAAATATGTTTTCAATTTCCTCCGACTCTCCCCACTTATGTCTCACCCTGCTTCCCTTTCAGCTCGGGGAGCCGTGGAGCCCAGGGAAGAGTCGGGAAAACTTTTGCAGTCCGACCCCGCGGGTGGCGGCAGGGCCGGGGCGGCTCCGCGGGGCTCTGGCAGGCGCAGGGGGTATCCTTGCCCGGGGGGGCTCCCTGTCCCGGCAGGGTGCCGCGGCCCCGCGTTGGGAACGGCACCCCGAGACTTTTCCCACCTCGAGTGCGTGCAGGGCTCTCCGTGGTAGTGCAACCTTTCACTTCCCCGGCTTCTGGATATTTGGCTGACAAAGGGGCACAGGCGGGACTGGCGCCCACGCCGCACACCCGCTGCTCTGCCGTGGGTGTAGGGGCAGGGGCTGTCTGCGTCCAGCTCCACGCAGCCCCGCTGTGTCTCCCAGCCCACGCTTGCAGCCCTACCGCACTCTCTGCGCGTGTATTTGCGTGTCAGGATTTGCGGGTGCGTTTGTGCGGCTGAACGTGGGTGCAGCGAGGGTGTGGGGGAAACATTCGCTTGCACACACGCGTGTGCAAACGGGTGTAGCTGTCAGCTCACGGGCTGCACATGGGCACGGTACCCCTCCACCACTAGTCCTCCCTGCCTTCCCCATCTGCCCGAGGGCCGCCCTGAGGGGCTTCTCTTGGCAACCCCGCGCTCGCCCACTGCCCGGGAGCCGGCGGGGTCCGTCGCGGTGGGAAGTTTGCCCAACTCTTCGCGCAGAGGGATGCTCCTTCCCAGGGTCATCTCCTCGGCTCTCAGGTGCACACCCCGTCCCAGGCGCCTGTCTGCAGTGGCGGCAGGGGCTCTCCACCTACGATCTTTTGGTATTTTACCCCGAGGTCTGAACGACAGCACCGGTGTCGGGGGACATGAGTGTCACCGATTTTCCCCTTCCTGTCCGCAGGCAGCTCAGGGTTTTCTCCCTGCCAGTGCTTTGGAGAGGACCCGAGGCCCATGCCCCTCACCACAACATTTCCGTCCCGCACTTGTGTCACTTCACACCCCTACGGCCGGGCCGTGACTGTGAGACGGGCCTCGGACCCGGGAGGCGATACCGGCTGGGGGGTTCCGACCTGCAGCGGGCCGGGTTGCAGGCACTGGGGAAGCTGAGAAGGGGAGAAAGGGGGGGGTTAGGGGGGAAGCGAAATCCTTTGTGTTTTTGTCCTCCTTTGTTCCGGAACTAACTTGACCAGTGTGGCTGGGAGCAGCACGATTTCGATTGGAAAAAGCAGGGGAGAGGGGGGCTCTTTTGATCCTCATCGGGGAAAGTGATGCTCGGGGAGGTGGCCGGAGGCGCTGACACCGGCGCTGGTCTCTCTCTGCGGCGTCTCACAGCAAAATTTCGTTGAAGGCACTATTTCTGCCTTGCCTGGGAACTTTCGGCTCTAATTATCCATGTTTCTCCTACGAACCGGGCTTGCTGCTCTCTGCTCATCCGTTCCCAGGGAGAGAAAACAGTGTGTGCAGGGCTAAAACGCAGCAAGACAAAATAATCAGCTTTAAAAGTACGTGTTCGCTTGGGGGTGGGGGACAGGGAAAGGGGCAGAGAGTAAAGCAAAATAAGTCTATTGCCTGGAGTAATGATGCAATGTTACTGCTGCCCAGTGGCGGTAACCGGAATTGGGTCATTTTAGGGACAAACGCCGGCAAAATTCTAGTCACGTCCACTTTTGATATAAGGATGTGTCCTCTTTAAAAATTGTTATGCAAAAGACTGTCGTACGTGATCTTCTTGCAATAAAAAGCAGAAAGTCAAATATTGGAGCCCAAGTCAATAATGTATGAACAGATTAAGCAACCTTTCTCCCAGGCAATTATTTCAGCAATTGAAAACCTCACTCGCTCCAAATTTCAAAAATAATAATAACAATAGTAGGAAAAGTAAATAAAACCCAGTGCAAGTGAGATGGTCTCCTGCACTTTGGCCCTTGCTCGGGAAGGGTGGGTGAAATTTTTTTTTCCATCTGGAAAGAGTAGCCGAGAAGGTACTTAAACCAGCAGCAGCCTGAAAATCACAACGATTCATAATAATCTACGGATCGTGGGAGTAAATAGGCATATCGAGGGGCCACCGGCCTGCCGGGGTGTATTTGTCTTTAAAGCTCGGGGTAAATTAAGTTTCCGGCTGTGTAATTCTAACAAAAGGTGATAGAAAACGCACTGGGGGAGTAATAGATGGTGGCACCGGGGATCAGAGTGGGGAATGGGTTTAATGCTGATTTATGTGCCGAGGGCCGGGGCGCGCCGCCGTCGCCGCCGCGGGAGCAACGCGAACAGCTCCTCGGGTGCGGGAGCTCCGCGGGTGCGTGGGCTCCGCGGGTGCAGGAGCTCCAAGGGGGGCGGCCGGGCTGAGCCGGGCCCCGAGCACGGCCCGGAGGAGCCGCTGCCGGCAGGCGGCTTGTCCCGGCGCTCCCCGGCAGGGAAGCTGCTGCCCTGCGCGGGGAGTGACACGCGTCCCTCCCGGCCGAGATCGGCAGGAGATCCCAAGGGGAGGACAAGGGGTCTGGCAGCAGGGAGCCGGGGACAGAAGGCAGAGAGCTGCGATGGGTTTTCCCAGCATCCCTGCGTCTAAAGTTGCTGCAAAACTTCGGGAGAGAAAACCCTCAGTCACGCACTGCAGGCTACTTTTTCCCCCGCTTTCCTGCTTTGCGTCCCTTGCCCCGTGGTTGCCGGGCGCTGCCGGCCACGCAGCAGGCAGGATTGCCTTAGCGAGCCTTTCTCTGGCTCCACCATAAAAACTTCCCCCCGTCTTCACCGATTCTGATCTTGGTCTTGAATTTGGTCAGTGTTGCAGTGACAATAACTAGCTATTCGTTTCGGTTGCAAAAGCAGAGAGCAAGTCAAAAGCAGGGCAACTGAACTTTCTGGAGACAGTCTGGCAGACACTGGGGTCTGCACCGTCCTGGAGAAACTGGGACGAGGTTTGAAGTGAGGGATGTGACTTCAGACCCAGTTGGGGGCATTGTGGCAGGAAGATGAAAATGTTATTTGGGAAAAACGATTCCTCCCCGTGCACAAGTGAAGAGGTCTTGTGGGAGCACCAAGAGCTTGTTGGAGCACCCAGCCCAACCGACTTGCTACAGCTGAGACCCTTTTCCAAGACATGCCAGAGTACAATAGAATTACTCGCTAGCATGGCACTTCACCTGCACACCCAGCCCTGCAGCCAAATCCCACATCCCTCTCCAGACAGCAGCCTTACATTCCTGAGCTAGACAAATGATGAAAAAGTTCCAGTTACCGTCTAATGAAAGGCCTCCATCTCCCTTCCCCCAGAGGTTTCCGATGCACATATAATTAGCTCTCAATATTTCATGAATATGGGGTTTTACTAATTCCTTTTCACTCAGGAGATTTCGCATTCACTGTTTTGCCCTCTCTGTCATTTTGCACAAAGCCGTGGCTGTGGGAAGGGTGGTTGCGGCTTGGGGTGGGTTCTTCTTGCTGGATTCACATCCTTCAGTCGCCTGAGGCCTCAGCCCAGACATCATGAGAGACACAGATCCCAAATGGAGGACCACAGCTTTTTTTTTCATGCAGGAAATTAAATGTGCTGTGGGATTTTGGTCCTTTGGGGCAAGCATTTTTTTGGATGGGTAGCAATTCAGGAATGGGTCTTCTGTTTCTGAGTTACAGCATGTTTTGGAGGGAAATTGGTACTTTCTGACCAAAAAAAGCAGTCATCTCAGGCAATTCAGGATGTAGAGGTCAAGCTAAAGATCATCAAGAAATGTTCCACTAAATCTTAATGATCTTCCACAATAACGGTTCCAAATTGTCTGAATACTACACAATTGTATTAGTAAGAACAACTCTAAGCACCCAGTCTGTGTAATGAAGGCAAAGACTTTACCAACATCATCTTTAATTTTTTCCTTTTTCCTCCAATCATGCCAGAGATCTTGATTACATCTTTTTTTCCTCTCATCCTGCTCCATCCAAATGTATGTGCCTCGAGTAAAATCACGTAATGATAGCTCAGTCCTGAGGGAGTTTTCCTAAACACACTGCAAGAACAAAGTTTGGCCCTTCTGTCCAAGCAGATTTAGACTAATGGACTTTTCACCACATCCCTTGGTGCTAAGCACTGGCATTTGCAATGCAGCAGATGAATTTCTGTAAAGGCAACCCCCAACCAGAAACAGCTCATTAAAAATCCCATTATCCCCATAACTCGCTTATTATTAATTTAAATGACTGTCTTATGATTTGTAAGAGGAAAACAAATCCTAAAACAAATGATACTTGGAATCACTGAGGCTGGTGGGCACTGGATTTTATTTGCCACACATTTTCAGTTGGATGTTAAAGAGGTTTTCCAGTTTACAATAATTGCTGTCTCTCTATGTGGTCCATTGAAGGATAGCTTTGTTTTCTCACATTAAACTTTGTGAGTCACTAGTTACTGTGCTTTGCCTATTTCTTAATAACAACTTTGCACTTATATGGGCCTTTTCCACCCTGCAATTCTCTAGCTGTTTAATAGGCAGCCCAAAAGGAACTGGTGAAAGGGAGAGGAGTTCCTCAAGTGACTGACATGGATGCAGGATCAGAACTTGCAGACATTCAGCTGAGCTCTGAGTCACGTTCAACAGGATTTTTCCCTGTGTCAGGGCCAGAGAGTTCATTCCCATAATCTCTGTCTGTGGGTGTGCCACAGCAGGATTTTTTCTGTACTCATCAATCCCTGGGAGTGACGGTGCAGGTAGTGAAAGACCACAGGAGCTGGCAAGTGGTGGAGGTTATAAACTCAGGCCTGTGCTGCCTACAGGGAACATCTCAGAAGCTGAAAATATCTCCTTTAGCTATCTCAGGAGGGACCTGCAGCAGAAGCAGCACCCTAAGAGAGAAAGGGATTATCAATCGTTGCTCCAGGCTGAGGCAGCCAGTGCTGAGATCCCATCAGCTGCAGGCTCTGCTGTGAGGGTTCCAAAGCCATGTAGCCACTGCTCTGGTGTGCAGGGAACATTTAGCAGAAGAGCTCCCACAGAGGACTGCTCCCGTTTTTGCTGTTTTCTGCTGCGCTGTGATAATTCTTTAATTTGGTCTTCAATGTGTACTCTTTGCTGTTTGCCCCACTACTTCATAAGTCAATACAGCTTTTTAATCCAACAATGACTGAGCGATCCACAGTTCCCATCTGTGCACTGAGGGATCGTCATGCGTGTGACCAGGCTGAATTCTCACCTGCAGGAAATCGCTGTGGAGAGGGGCCTTCAGCAAGTGGGGCTGTCCCAGCACT